TACAATGTCTTACAAAACAATTCACTTGTCATAGTATTTTCAAAATAACATAATTACCAAGCTTTTGACGTCTTTAAAACGTGGAAACTCAGACAGTATGTTGCTTGACTGCTGGGGGTCGAGGATCATTTTGCGGCGATACACAAACGTCAGTTCCATTTTCTTCTTGATTGTGTCTGCATCAGCAGAATGTTTCATCAGTGAGATTGCTTTGTTGCACTCATCATCAGTCAGGGCAGTCTCTGGAACAAACTGGGATTCTCGTCTGACAGTCGGTCCTCCAGACATGTCTTCACCAGTTGATCCTTTGGCTGATTCTACACAACACGGGAAAATTTCAATCATGTCAAAAGTTTTAGTAGCCTGGCTAACTTTTAAAGGAAGTACTCCACTGTAAAATATACTTTTTGAGCTGTAAACTAAATGATATGAATGATATGTTTGATGCTAGGGAGTGTGGCAAGCTGGTTTAGCCAAGGCCAAATGGGAAGAAGGCCAAATTACAGGTGTTGGCCATCTGAGGGGCAGAGGACAGCAAAGGGGGGGGGTGGTTACATGATATATATGAATGTATATGGAGCGTGATAAAAAGGTGACCTTGAAATTGTGGCGTTAATGGCGACGCAAGGAAAAAATTTGGGTGCACCTACATTTTGTGCTGGTGCACCTAAATAAAAAAGTTAGGCGCACAAGTGCAACCAAGACAAAAAGTTAGTGTGGAGCCCTGCATCAATGCTGGTGTTAATATTGACATTATTTCTTCACAATTTATGAAATCTGCAGTTTGTGGGTTGAAAAATGTATGAAAATGCCATCTACTGGTTTAAATCACCCTAAAGTTTGCAAGGCCAGTTTGCCAGGGGTTGCCTCGACCAGTCAGTGTCGAGGCAACCCCCCCTTATGTCACAGTCCTTTGTAGGTCTCTGATGCATATTTTCTTTAAATTTGCTAAGAGGGAGGGAGCTAGCAGAATTGAAGGATGTAGTTACACATTATACTATATGTCTGAGAAATAGTGCAACAAATGCAATTATTGATCTAGCAACTGTTTTGTTCCATACATTTTCCAGTATTACCTCCGAATGATGATCGCCTGTCTTTGGCGGTGCCTCTCTGAATAGTTTTAATCCTCCAGGCCAAGTACCCAGTTCCACTCTCGCCATCATAATAATGCTCCTTGAAGGATGAAAGGATAACAAAAATGGATACTTCATTGAAAACAACATGGTCTGGTAGGATTCAAAAACTTCCAATAGCATTTAACATTACAACTATTACTGTGTGCAACTCACATAGCCATTCTTAGAGAATGGGTCACTGAGGTACGGGAATAAGGTCACTATTCCTTTGGCATACATTTCTTTCACCTGTCTGGGTGGAGATGTACTGCAAAATTGAAGAAGAAAGGATTGTGCAGTCATATTCACTTAGATTCAGATTTAGATTTACAGATTGAGAACACAAGGACTATTAACAAATTACCCATTCTTTTCTGTCATGTCAGCTGCCAGCATGTTCACCATTTTGCGTCTTGTTTCATCCGTCAAGGACTTGGTTCGGTTGTAATCATTTATTATACGTTCCCCACCGGTTTTGTTGGTAAGAGCTGATTCCACCAACTTAAAACAAAATGCATAACAATTCTGCATGTTATGTCCACTGCAAATAAACTGGAAATAAACTAATATGATGTCAGAGGATGTCCCGATCCAATCTCAAAGATTGCAAGTGCTACAAAAATCCAATGAAAAAGCCAATAATGGTAAGAAACTCCCTCCAGACAGCGACAATAACTTGAATGTACTCGAAGTGTGCACTGTATTATCAATAAATAAATAAAAGTATCTGATCAGGACTCAATATCAGCAGATACTTTTTTTAATCGGATAGGGCGCTTAAAAAAACTTGATCGGGACATCCCTAATCAGGACTTCAAAAATGTTTTGAAACCATGTAATTTACAATGTATATTAATGTAATTTTAATTATCTGAGAACAGATTCAAGAACAGAATTTAAAATGTCAGAATTGTCTTACTTGCTTGGCTTCTGTATCCAGCCTCTGGCGTTTTCTGGAGGGGCTATCTGAAATAATGACTGTATCCTCAGAGTCCAAGGTATCAAGGGATGATGGTTGGGATTGCTCAGAAGAGGCCACCATGGAGACAGATTCTAACCATGATTTTTAGAAGAAAAAGAATTATATATAGTTCCCTCATAATCTAAGACACTTATTTAATAGACACCATGAACTTCATAAAACAAAGAAATAACGTATTCATTAATTAGTCTAATTAACTGAAACAAACCTGAGTCATATTTGATGGTTAGCACCCCAGTTGAGGGATCCTTTATAATATCCTCAAAAACATCATCATCCAATTCAGTCCCTGAACTGTCAACAATTTTCACACCTTCTGTTACAGCTGGGACACCAAACTTTGCAAATGCTAGAAAAAACAGGGATAAAAGCTTGTGTAAACAAAAGTAAATCATTATTTATATAATAATTTCACTGTGTACACCTACCTTACCCTATAAAATAGGTTTTAAACAAACACTATTAAGTGATTAAAATGTTTTTTTTTGTAGCATCATAACTATACCTTAAGCAATGCATCCACAATTAAAGTGTAGTTACCAAGGGCAAAACAGAAGAAATTTAGACGTACAAAAATGGACCAGTTCCAAAAACCTGAGAACTTAACATGTCCCATCATTTTAGGAATATTCCAGTATATCAATTTTAAACAGCTAAATTCAGACAGTTATTACTAACATTGTCAAATTCTTACCTGCAATCAAAAAGTCTTTCAGATTTGGCTCAGTTATTCTGACAAATTTTTGGACATCTCCAAGTTTAGCTTTAAGCAGCATGCTCCCTGCAAATAGTATCAGTACAATTTCTCACAGTTAAAAAGTTGATGGTCTTATTTTAGCAGTATTTCCTCAAATATAAGAAAAAATATTGTTTCAAGCCACCAAAGTGCTGAGAAATGATCAGCACTTTTGCAGAAATGGCCAGTTAAATTGAAGTTACTGTCAAACACATTAAAAAGGATAACGTCTGATTTTCATCCTTGTAACATTAATGTTACCGCCTTGCCCGCACAATTACTGCAATTGTTGGGTCTTGGTATATTATAGAGTGTGGTCTAGACCTACTCTGTCTGTAAAGTGTCTTGAGATAACTCTTGTTATGATTTGACAATATAAATAACATTGAATTGAATAATGTTAGCTAAACGTTACACCATAAGTGTGTGCTAAGATAGTGCTTAAGTATTTTAACAGTACTGCTGCTGCTTTGAAACCCGAAAGTCATTTTGTATAATATCCAGGAAAAAAATAAAGGCACACCGCTTAAGCAGTGTCCAAGGTTAATGTCTACCCGCCGTTAACATAATAAATCCATGCCACCCGCACATAGTTAGCCAGTCAAGCTAACGTAGCTAACTGTAGCTAGTTTAGCCAACTCCCCTTAGTCTTTGCTATGTTCCTGTAATATCTGAACGTTAACAAGAAGTACACAATCCCCCCTCCACGTTGTATTAACATAACTTACAATAAATCGGGCTGACATTGTCTAGTTTGAACGTTATGTTCGTCAGTTAATGTTAATTAACGTTAGCTTAATACTGCTGGCACATGGACTGGACAGAAGTCAGTCACAACATGTTAACGTTAGCCTTTTTAAAATTCGACATTTTAAGACCTAAAACCAACTAGAGTGCACTGTTAGCAACGATATAAAGTAATTCTTAAATGCTGCTTCTGTTAAAATGACAAATAATGTGTGTATAGTCGCTTAGGAGAAACTTACCGCAATCATTCCACATGAAGAAAATGGCGCCGTGAAAATGTGTGGTCCGTTTGAGACGAGTCGTAGGTGGGCGGAGCTTTCCAGAGTACGTCTGACACTGCGTCTTTTAACAACGTACTTTTTCACCAACACTGGGCGGTATCTTACTCCAACTGTTGTAGTAATAACTCTGTAAGAGTCAATGTACTTTGACACTGCATATTTAACACTATGGAATTTACTGTGCACTTAATGCTTTTTTCATACAACAATATTTTTTTCTTTACATGTTTCGTTGTAAAATCTTGAAACCTACTGCTATAATCTGTTCAATAACACTATAATGTGTGTTGAACAAGCTATTGAACATATGTGATAAACCAGCTTCACGATGTGGATATAAAATACCAATTACTGTCTTCTTTACTGTGAAATGTCTTGTTGGTTAACGATCACAGCCTCCTTGTCTTCGTCACATATGAACAAACAAGAATATATTGATAAGTCACCTTGTCCTGGAGAGATTTACTCGGTTATCAAAACGTCATGCCAGGGTAAGCCTACACGAAACAGAGCCCTTATTTGAAGTGTTTCTAAAATCCCCTATGGGAAAAATGAATGATGGAAAAACGATTGGAACCATTTCCTTGTTTGACCGGTAGGTTTTATGGGTATTATGACTAACACTGTGGTACTCTACAGGCCCTGGTCAAAAGTAGTGCACTACATTGGGAAAAGGGTGCCATTTGTGACGCAACCAGGATTAATTAGCAGGTTTCTGTGGCTTGGCCTGAGCCGACATTACAGAACTCTCTTGCCTCACAATCTACATGCTGCCTCCCCATGGCCGACACTGGAAATGAGTGTTTCAGGTTCATTTGTTCATTTACCACACACCGACACACACACACACACACACACACACACACACAACCTTGCATAGCAAAAAAACAATACATGTACAGAGACAGATCAATGCCGCAGCTTTATATATCCCTTCATGTCAATTCATTCAAATGACAAAATACCCAGAAAACAACATTTTTATTCTGTTGCTTTGTATGCTGTTTTCCCTTTTCTTACTTTTTTAAGCAGATAAAAGTTGCACATTAAAATATGAAATACTCCCAAATATATAAATAAAACCACAGGTTGGACAGTAATTGTATTGACAGCTAACTTGAATGAGCGATGAATCATATACATGAGTAGAAAAACACTGCAAAACAAAAGAGAAGCATACACAATTTACAGACAGTCATTGGAGATGTTCATTTTCAGTTAAAAAAAGGTATGATCATACTACAGTAGATTTGTAAGTCCCAATATTCAAGCAACATGGTACTTGTGGTGTTATGATAATGGTCTCTAATGTGTCCACTGGCTAACTTTTCATTCTCAATACAAGGCCATTCATTTCCCTTACTAATAATCCTTTTGTACAGTTGGAATAATAATCGAGAACGACGCCTGAGTTTTGGTTTTGAACCCCTTTTTCTTTTGTGGGTGTGGCAGTGCACCAAAACATTCCCAATATTTGCAATACATTCAATCAAACTGAAGGCATTTAATTTGTTTCACATTACAATGGTGTTTGGCAGTAACACTGTTCAGCTAAAAAGGACATAGAGCAACTGCCCTAGTGGGTGGGTCTCTCTCTCTCTCATTTCTGCAACACGCATTATGCACATACATTACAAGTCTCCATCTTGTATCTGAAAGTGATGAAGTCTCCATCTTGAATCTCAAATAGATAGCTAGATAGCTGACTGCCAAATAAAATAAATCACAAAATCTGTAACTCCTGTGTGTATTACAAACAAGAACCTACCATACAAACTTCAGAACATACAATAACATTCTTGAACATGAAGTACTTCTCAATATTGATAACTATCACAATTATAGTAATAATATCAATTTCATGTCTTTCTATACAATTATTATTTGTACCTAAATTCTTAAAATACAAATCCTATATCTGTTGGACAGTATTTCTTTAGAATTTGACCTCAGCTGAGCATTGTTCAGTAACTGACCATTTTGTTTGACCGTGGTACAGCGATACGGTTTAAAAGTGGTAATTATCGTTCCAACACTGGCCATTGCTGTTGGTCTTGACTCCACTGTTAAGTTTCTGTATGAGTAAGTACAATGTCATTCAGAGGATTCAATGAGCCCCCACATACTCCTTTTATCATCATATTGAAGCATCTTTATAGATTTATCTGCATTTTAAGTTAAGCTGCTCCACTTCACGTCAACCTAACCATCAAAGCACAGGATAAATGTTCATAATGAATTTTAAACTGACATTCTCCGCTGTAGAGAGCGGAAACCATCTTCCCGTCTTCATATTATAGTCTTATCATGGGATTCCAAGCACCCAGAGGTACAGAAGGGCGAGAAAGACAAACCCATTGTCTCACACTGGTAATTCAATTATTGCAGTTCTGTACCTCTGGTTCGTTTTCTTCTCCCAACCATGTGGTTTGAGAGATGTGATTAGGCATGAACCCAAGTCAGCATACAGGACAGGCCATCAATTTGGCCCAAGTGCTTGGCATTACATTATCCCACTGTCTGTCTTTCTGTCTGTCTGTCTGTGTGTTAGTGAGGCTCAGGGTACGGGGTGGTGGTGAAGCAGTAGCACACCTTTTGGCAGGTGAAAGTTCCAACAGAGCAGTGGTGAGGTGAGCCTGGAAGAGTATATATCATCAGCTCATAGTGGGGACGAGATACCCCAGTCCCTCTCTCTCAAACGCACATGCACACACACAGAGCCAAGTTAGAGGGAGTTCTGCCTCCTGGCTTTACTATGGTTAGTGATGCGTGGGTTGACTCATAACCCGCAGTCCCTGCGGTTTAGGGCAATTAAATATTGTGTGGATGGTTGGCGGGCGGGTTGAATAAAAAGAGAACAATGCATTAAAAATCCATAAATGTATAATTATTGTGCAATTCATATCTGTAGGTTACATTTAGTTTTTAGTAATTTTTTTTTTTATATGGCGCTAGTGTGTAGCCTAAGCTTTAGGGCCTAACTGTACTCTCTCTGAATACATGCCAATTGCCCAATGCTTTTGCAAACCTCTAAGGCAGTGCTAGCTGTGCCACTAGAGATCCTGGTTTGAATCCAGGCTCTGTCGTAGCCGGCCGCGACCGGGAGACCCACGGGGCGGCGCACAATTCGTCCAGGGTAGGGGAGGAAATGACCAGCAGGGATGTAGCTCAGTTGGTAGAGCATGGCGTTTGCAACGCCAGGGTTGTGGGTTCGATTCCCACGGGGGGTATGAAAAAAAAAATAGACTAAAATGTAAATGTATAATGCCCTTTTAGTGTAAGAGCTGTTTGAAAAGACAGCTTGAAATTTCAGCCTGTTTTGGTGGGAGGGAGTTTTGGCCTTCAATGGTGACATAACCATGTGGTTAATTAGTTCATAGACCAATAAGAGAGTTCCAAACCTCTCTGCCAATAACAGCAAATGTTCTGTTTTCACCTCCCCACTCAAAACACTCACTCCCCACTCAAAACAAAAATTGTTCTTTGCTAAATTTTGTTTCTTTTTGACCATTTTAATTTAAAACAATCACAGTAAGGTACTTAATTGTTACCCAGAAATGATTTGAAATACAGATAAAAATGTCTGCACATAAAATATGCATCCAAGCTGAACTGAAATCTTATCAGAAACATGTTGGGTAGTTTTCACAGCTTTTAATTTCCTTAAAACCATTTTTTCCCCTGTACCCAAACGTCTTTACTGCGCGATTGCGCGAGAGATGCAGAGATGAAAGAGAGAACTTTACCGATGTCAACTAGATTGAAGCGTCCAGCCTATCGATTTATGACATTATTCTGGTGAGAAAGGGTTTATTTAGTATTCTAGGGTAACAAGTAATGACAGAAAATAAGCTGAATGTATCTAATTATAGATGAGTTGACTAACAAATAACCTACCAAAATGTCAGAAATTATAAGCATAAGCATATGCCTATATAGCACATTTTCTATATTTGCGGGTTAGGCTCGGGCCTCAGATTTTCACTTTATCACAGATAGTCGGGTGGTTGCGGATGGGTTATTTACCAATTGTGGTCGGGTGTGGGTGAACAAACAGCTGACCTGTGCACCACTAAGGGTGGTGACAGTGTTAGCTGCTTGTCCATTCAGTCCTTCTGGTCTGTGACTACGTCCTGGTGTGACTTTATGGGTTCCTTTTAGAGGACACTGTGATGACACAGCCTCCCCCTTCAACTAGAGCTAACCTGGCATGCATATGGTTACAAACACACATGCACCACCCACACAACCTCAAACACACACACACACACACATCATTATTCTAACAAACACACACTCACATCCACCCAACCACACATACCCACCCTCTTACACGTACACACACATGCACACTTACACTTTCACACAGAGTTCTCACATTAAGACACTGCTCTTCTGGAGCTGATGCTGCGGCTGAGGCTGGCGGCGCTGCTCTTGCGGGAAAGGCTGGGTGTCGTGGCGACAGAGGCTGGGCGTCGTGGCAACCGAGGGGGCCGGCTCGTTGGGGCAGCCGTACTGCAGGAGGATGTCGGCACACTCCTGACTGCCAGCGTAACGCGCCAACGTGAGGGCTGTCTGCCCCTGGGCGTCCCGACACCTCACATCACTGCCATACTGCGACCAGGGAGAGAGAGGGGGAGAATGAAAGAGGGCAATAAGATTCAGTTGAAATTCTTTGTGGATAAAAAAACACATGTGCAGCTATTTTTTGTAAAGTGTCACTTCTGTACGATTCAAACCACACTACTGCACCCAAGTTATAGACTGTTCGCTCTGCTATCGCACAGCAAGCGGTACCGATGCACCAAGTCTGGAACCAACTGGATCCTGAACAGCTTCTACCCCCAAGCCATAAGACTGCTAAATAGTTCGTCCGGGTAGCTATTGGTTAACTATTTAACTATCTGCATTGACTCTTTTTGCACTAACTCTTTTGACTCATCAAATACGCTGCTGTTACTGTTTTATCTATCCTGTTGCCTAGTCACGTTATCCTTACATACAGTGCATTCGGAAATGATTCAAACCCCTTCAATTTTTCCACATTTTGTTACATTATTCTAAAATGGATTAAATAAAACATTTTCTTCATCAATCTATACACAATACCCCATAATGACAAAGCGAAAACAGGTTTGTATAAATTTGTGCAAAATTACATAAGTATTCAGACCCTTTAATATGAGACTCGAAATTGAGCACAGGTGCATCCTGTTTCCATTGATCATCCTTGAGATGTTTCTAAAACTTAATTGGAGTCCACCTGTGTTAAATTCAATTGATGTGACATGGTTTGGAAAGGCACACACATGTCTATATTAGGTCCCACAGTTGACAGTGCATGTCAGAGCAAAAACCAAGCCATGAGGTAAAAGTAATTGTCTGTAGAGCTCCGAGACAGGATTGTGTGGAGGCACAGATCTGGGGAAGGGTCCCAAAAAATGTCTGCAGCATTCAAGGTCCCCAAGAATACAGTGGCCTCCATCATTCTTAAATGCAAGAAGTTTGGAACCACCAAGACTCTTTCTAGAGCTGGCCGCCGGGCCAAACTGAGCAATCGGGGGAGAAGGGCCTTGGTCAGGGAGGTGACTCTGACAGAGCTCCAGAGTTCCTCTGTGGAGTTGGGAGAACCTTCCAGAAGGACAACCATCTCTGCAGCACTCCACCAAAGGCCTTTATGGTAGAGTGGTCAGACGGAAGCCACTCCTCAGTAAAAGGCACATGACAGCCCACTTGGAGGTTGCCTAAAAGGCACCTAAAGGACTCTCAGATCATGAGAAACAAGATTCTCTGGTCTGATGAATCCAAGATTGAACTCTTTGGCCTGAATGCCAAGCGTCACGTCTGGAGGAAACCTGGCACCATCCCTACGGTGAAGCATGGTGTTGGCAGCATCATGCTGTGGGGATGTTTTTCAGCGGCAGGGACTGGGAGACTAGTCAGGATAGAGGGAAAGATGAACAGAGCAAAGTACAGAGAGATCCTTGATGAAAACCTGCTCCAGAGTGCTCAGGACCTCAGACTGGGGCAAAGGTTCACCTTCCAACAGGACAACGACCCTAAGCACACAGCCAAGACAACACAGAAGTGGCTTCGGGACAAGTCTCTGAATGTCGTTGAGTGGCCCATCCAGAGCCCGGACTTGAACCCGATCGAACATCTCTGGAGAGACCTGACAATAGCTGTGCAGCGACGCTCCCCATCCAACCTGACAGAGCTTGAGTGGATCAGCAGAGAAGAATGGGAAAAACTCCCCAAATACAGGTGTGCCAAGCTTGTAGCGTCATACCCAAGAAGATTAGAGGCTGTAATCGCTGCCAAAGGTGCTTCAACAAAGTACTAAGTAAACGGTCTGAATACTTATGTAAATGTTATATTTCAGTTGAATTGTTTTCATACATTTGCTAACATTTCTAAAAGACTGTTTTTGCTTTGTCATTATGGGGTATTGTGTGTAGATTGATGAGGCTGTAATGTAACAAAATGTGGAAAAAGTCAAGGGGTCTGAATACTTTCCGAATACATTGTATATGAACATATATACCTCAACTACCTTGTACCCCTGCACATAGACTCGGTACTGGTACCTCGTGTATATAGCCAAGTTATCATTATTCATTGTGTATTTATTCTTTGTGTTATTATTTTTCTATGATTTCCCTATTGTATTTATTATAATAAATTGGTTTCTATTTTTTTTTTTTTTTAATCTCTGCATTCTTGGGAGGGGCTTGTAAGTAAGCATTTCACTGCTACACCTGTTGTTTACAAAGCAAGTAACAAATACAATTTCATTTGATATTTCTGCCATTCTTTGGCTGTAGTGTCATGAGTGGATGAAAGACAAAAAAATGGAAAAGCAGGATGAAGAGACTAGAGGAGGGACGTTCTCTCACCCAGACCAGCAGCTGGGTCATGATCACGTCGGCGAGCTGGCAGGCGGCGTGGAGCGCTGAGTGGGGCGGCAGTGGGGATCCCCCCATGGGAGAGCTGGGGGACGCAGCAGGGGGGTGAGGAGAGAGGTGACCCCCTGGGCGGAGGGGGGCGTTAATGTCGTCCTTGGTGCTGTGGGCTAGGAGGAGGAGCAGGCGGGGGAGGTCCCTCTCCATCACGGCCACCAGCAGACGGGCCGACAGCGTGTTGACTTCTGACCCCTGGCTGTGGGACATGGAGGGGGAGGGCGGGACCAGCGGAGCCACAAACAGCCTCTGCTCATACTTGGCCCGGATCCACGACTCCCGCTCCTCTCTGGGACCAGTCAGACACAGTTACAGACACACACACACTATTACCAAGGGAACAAAGTGTGTGAACAGGCAGGTGTATGTAGTCAGACACCTTCACATCTCCTATTTCTACTACTACTAGCTCTAACATTTTTATCAATGCAACTGCCTTCTCTTCTACAACAACAACAACTAATACTGCAACTGCAGTCCAGCAAGCTTGCCACTTATTCACACTTTATTAAGTGTCCCTTTCCCCTGTCCTCTCTGCTCTGTTTCCCAGTGTCTCTCCCATGTCATCCAGTATCCCTAGTCCTCCTACCGGGTGGCGTCGGGTGTGGGTTTCCGGCGGCCCAGCGTGCGTCCCTCCCAGATGCTGTTGGCCAGGTGGTTGCCAATGGCACCCAGCACCAGGGTGAGTTCTCTGGGCAGGTCGTCCAGGTCCAGAGAGCGGACACGGGACAGGTGGGTGCCCAGGTTCCTGTGGATCCCTGAACACTCAATGCAGATCAGAGCCCCCAGGTTCAGACTGGCCCACGTTGGGTCTGAGAGAGGAGACACAGCAGGTCTGGGATCAGACTAAATAATAGACTAAAACGTGTACAGTTTTAGTCCGGCCTGAAATTGCATGCATAGGAAAAACAGAAAGGAAATACAGAGATGGGGTTAGAGTACCGGTATTCCAATAGATTTATATTCTGGGTTGCAACTACATGAGTAGGACTTACATGGGCGAAAGAGTGGAAGGATATGGTGAACAGGATTGGGGTCAATTCCATTTAAATTCCAGTCAATTCAAAAAGTGAACCAAACAGTAATTAAAATTTCAATTGTTCCTAATTGAAAAGCATTGATGAGAATTGTAATGGATTGACTGGAATTGAAACGGAATTGACCCCAACCCTGATGAAGAACGGAGGTTCCACCCACACTGAAAACCAAGATCAATGAGATCACCCAGCTAGCACATTTGATTCCTTGGAAGTTGTGGGAATGTATGTTTTTGGTTTCACATTGGTTGTGGGAACAAAGCCATACGTTTCCTGACCAGTAAAACTGAAAGATTTTTAAACGTTCTGAGAACAGAAGTGAGAATTACGCCTGTTTTGGGAACATTTACTTTCAGGTTGCAGGGATGTTCTGAGAACGTTTTACTCTGGTTCCTTGAAAGTTTTCCTGGAAGGATTTATTAACCCCCTGAGAACTGAAATTATAGGTTATTTTGAGGTTTTTGAATAACTTCCTTAAAAATTAAACTGAATGTTTCAATAAGACTTTTAATAACACTGCTAGCTTATTTTGGGTTAACTTTTTTGAACTCCAAGCACAGATAGGACACATGGAAATTCATTTCCTTAGACATTAATAATGCAAACACATTTCTTTTTTATTGTGACACGGCATAATCTTCTGTTCTCTATCCACTGAATTAGTCCACAGCGTCACCAGGGTGGAGCTAGCATGCCATGTTGTTTTATGCATACAAAGCTGTGAATTTTTGTCTATTCAAACAGACCCCATTTAAAAAGAAACAAGCACCCATTAAGATCAAGTGTGGCCTATTAGTGGGCGCTTCCAACACACCTGAACACACTTAACAAGATAGAGGATAGAGTTTTGTTGATGCTAAGGATGGAATGTATATGCTTTTAAATAACATTCTTAGAAGGTTCTCTGAATGTTACTAAAGTTTTCTTGTGGTTTTTATGGAAAGTTTGCTTAACGTTCTTTGAACAATTTGAGAACATGACTAAATAGAACCAAGAGGAAACCTGTAGGAAACGTTATGCTGAAGTACTGAAATTCCCACAGAAGAATGTTGTTTCTAAACGTTCTTGGAACAATTTGAGAACATGACTAAATAAAACCAAGAGGAAACCTGTAGGAAATGTTATGCTGAAGTACTGAAATTTGAGAAAATTCCCAATGCCAAACCAGTTGGAGAACGTTCCTAGAACATTACCAAAATGTAAATTAAATGTAACCATGTGTCACACCCTGACTCAGGGGACACTTATATGTTGAGTCAGGGTGTGTATATTCCTTGTTGTGCTTGTTCTATGTTATAGGATCTAGTAGTTCTAGATCTATGTTGGCCGGTGTGGTTCCCAATCAGAGGCAGCTGTCGCTCGTTGTCTCTGATTGGGGACCATACATAGGCAGCCTATTGGGAACGCAATCGTACTCCTGAGTGGCGCAGTGGTCTAAGGCACTGCATCGCAGTGCTAACTGTGCCACTAGAGATCCTGGTTCGAATCCAGGCTCTGTCGCCGCCGGCCGCGACCGGGAGACTCATGGGCGGCGCACAATTGGCCCAGCGTCGTCCAGGGTAGGGGAGGGAATGGCCGGCAGGGATGTAGCTCAGTTGATAGAGCATGGCGTTTGCAACGCCAGGGTTGTGGGTTCGATTCCCACGGGGGGCCAGTATAAAAAATATATGTATTCACTAACTGTAAGTCGCTCTGGATAAGAGCGTCTGCTAAATGACTAAAATGTAATGTAAATGTATTGGCACTAGTTAAGGTGTGGGATCTTGTTCCGTATAAGGTATGTTGTTTGTGTCTACCGTGGACTTCACGTTTCGTTTTGTCGAGTGTTTATTAAGTTTAAGTAAACATGTATGCATATCACGCTGCGCCTGGGTCCGTCCCGTCTATGAACGAACGACGACAGAAGATCCCACCAAACAAGGACCAAGCAGCGTGCCCATAAGGAGCAAACGCCGGGGATTCAACGGGAGGTAACTTTAGTAGACGTCCTCCTCGGTTGGGGGAGAATTACTGAGGAGGAGGCCGTCCGTTATTGGGAGGCGATGAAGGTTGATGCCCAGGTAGGAGAGGAGAAACGGTGCCAACCGTGCCGACGACGGAGACCCGAGAGCCAACCCCAATAAAAAAAATTGGGGGGGCACACGGGGTGGATGACGAGGCAGCAGGAGGCCGTGGAAGGGCGAATCTGCAGGTTAGGAGAGGAGGCCACCATGTTACGGGGGCTATTGGTTCAGAAGGAGCAGGAGTTATTCGGTCAGAGGGAGGCGCTACAGGAGGCTAAAAGGGAGAAGGAAAGTGTAGAGGCACGGCGAGAGGAGCTGGTTAGGCAGCAGAAGGAGCGGGGTTTAATAAAGGAACCCAGTCCCGCTCCTCGCACCAAGCAAGTGGTGCGTGTCGCCAGTCCGGTCCGGCCCGTTCCTGCTCCCCGCACTAAGCCAGTGGTGCGTGTTCCCAGTACGGCCTGACCCGTTCCTGCTCCTCACACCAAGCCAGTGGTGCGCGTCGCCAGCCCGGTCCGGCCTGTTCCTGCTCCTCGCACCCAGCCAGTGGTGCGCGTCGCCAGTCCGGCCCGGCCTGTTCCTGCACCTCGCACCAAGCCAGTGGTGCGCGTCGCCAGCCCGGCCCGGCCTGTTCCTGCTCCTCGCACCAAGCCAGTGGTGCGCGTCGCCAGCCCGGCCCGGCCTGTTCCTGCTCCTCGCACCAAGCCAGTGGTGCGCGTCGCCAGCCCGGCCCGGCCTGTTCCTGCTCCTCGCACCAAGCCAGTGGTGCGCGTCGCCAGCCCGGCCCGGCCTGTTCCTGCTCCTCGCACCAAGCCAGTGGTGCGCGTCGCCAGCCCGGCCCGGCCTGTTCCTGCTCCTCGCACCAAGCCAGTGGTGCGCGTCGCCAGCCCGGCCCGGCCTGTTCCTGCTCCTCGCACCAAGCCAGTTGTGTGCGTCGCCAGCCCGGCCCGGCCTGTTCCTGCTCCTCGCACCAAGCCAGTGGTGCGCGTCGCCAGCCCGGCCCGGCCTGTTCCTGCTCCTCGCACCAAGCCAGTGGTGCGGGTCGCCAGCCCGGCCCGGCCTGTTCCTGCTCCTCGCACCAAACCAGTGATGCGCGTCGCCAGTCCGGTCCGGCCCGTACCTGCTCCTCGCACCAGACCAGTGGTGCGTTTGTCCAGTCCGGCACGGCCCGTGCCCGTTCCACCGGTGCCTGGTCCGGCACCGGTCAGCTGCTCCACTCCGGAGCCAGAGCAGTCCGCTCCACCGGTGCCTGATCCAGTTCCGGTCAGCTGTTCCACTCCGGAGCCAGAGCAGTCCGCTCCGCCGGTGCCTGATCCAGCTCCGGTCAGCTGCTCCACTCCGGAGCCAGAGCAGTCCGCTCCACCGGTGCCTGATCCAGCTCCGGTCAGCGGCTCCACTCCGGAGCCAGAGCAGTCCGCTCCACCGGTGTCTAGTCCAGCTCCGGTCAGCGGCTCCAGTCCAGACCATGGCGTCAGCCCCTCTCCAGGTTCGGGGTCTCCCACACCAGGGTCCAGACTGGGCCTGGCGTATCGTGGGAGGAAGGAGAGGGGAAGCAACGCGCCGAGGTCTAGACCAGACCAGGGGCGCAACAGGGAGGCGAAGAGTGAGAGGTCGTCACGCCCTGAGCCGGATCCGCCTCCGAGGCGGAATGCCCACCCGGCCCCTACCCTGTTATGTTGTGCGGTCGGAGTCCGCACCTTTGGGGGGGGGGGGGGGGGGGGTACTGTCACGCCCTGACTCAGGGGACGCTAATATGTTGAGTCAGGGTGTGTATATTCCTTGTTGTGCTTGTTCTATGTTATAGGATCTAGTAGTTCTAGATCTATGTTGGCCGGTGTGGTTCCCAATCAGAGGCAGCTGTCGCTCGTTGTCTCTGATTGGGGACCATACTTAGGCAGCCTATTGGCACTAGTTAAGGTGTGGGATCTTGTTCCGTTTAAGGTATGTTGTTTGTGTCTACCGTGGACTTCACGTTTTGTTTATTGTTTTGTCGAGTGTTTATTAAGTTTAAATAAACATGTATGCATATCACGCTGCGCCTTGGTCCGTCCCGTCTATGAACGAACGTGACACCATGTTTGAACTTTTAGGAAAAGTAATGAAAATAATGTTTTTTTTGTCAAGTTCCTTAAATGCGCTGAGACCGTTCCAAAGCCAAGCAACTATCCTGCACCATTCCCAGAAAATTGTGGGAAGGTTTTATGCAAAATAACCATTGGACAACCACCCTCTCGCCAAGCTCTAAGAAACATATGGTTTTCAGAACGTTATGTGCTAGCTGGGCAGTAAGATGGATGAGAAAGCAGAAAAAGCAGTAGAGCACGAAAGGAAAGAGAAATTGAATAAAGATAAAGAGAGCAGCAAAGAGAGATAAAACCAACAGTAATGAATGAGTTGACTAACTAGGTGCTTCACAGTCCACACAGAGGCTGTTGCCCTTGGCATTACGGATAGCCTGCAGCGCCACAGCTTCACTCTGGCTGTTCTTACGAGCCTGTGGAACACACAAACACACAATTAGTCTCTCCTTAGTAATAGCTGGTTTCCAAGACAAACACTTTGCCAGATGCAGATATTTTCTTGTAATGTGTGTGTGGGTATGTGTGCATGTGTGTGTGTGTCTGTGTGTACGTGTGTGTGTGTGTGTGTACGTCTGCATCCTTGCCTTATTCTTGCTGCTCTCACACAGCTGCAGGCTGGCCAGGATCTGGCTCTCGATGGCAGTCACCCAGGCGTCCCTTTCCTCCACACTCTGGGCCTCGAAGTGCCACGTCTGGCCCGTGCTCGACACGATAAGGAAGTCAAAGTTATCCTCGTCTGATAACAGAACACATTCAATATATAGGCTTGTATTAGAGACAGGCAAAACATGATAAATAGGGCCCTGAGTTGACTATATGACCTAGTCCAATTAGGCCTGAGGTCACATGGCCAGGTTAAACTCATGGCCCTAATGACAAAGTACCATACAGTGGGTTCAGAGGGTTTCTTCCTCCATCACAATGATGATTGGTGGTGGATCGCCAAACAGCACTTATCTGTTAAGTAGACATCGGCATGCATTATTGCATTGCTGTGATGGTGGACAAATTAAGATGTATGAAGTATATGGAGAGAAGACTAGTACTGAATGCTTTATCTTAGAGACACTCAAGAGCAGTGTTAATTTCGTCAACAACTATGATGAAAAATACTAATCAACAGCCTATTTTTCCTGACTAAACTATGACGATAACGAGATGAGATGCCCTGTGAAAAAAAGGATAACTATTACAAATTACTTTTGTAAAGACGAGAATTCCACCTGAGACAATTTAATTTGACATGAATCTCCTTTTCATCTGGTTTGTCCAATGCTACGCATGCATAATATTTAATGCAATCCTCTCATTGGCAGAATTGTCATCTTTCAGTTGTGCGGTCTGATTGAGCTAATCTGTCTGGCACTCCCACACAGCTCCCAGGCAGTCACTTCAATCACTCGGCAATCTTTTGAATTAATGCGAAGCCAGGACACTTGACTTGTAACTGACCTCCACTAGAAACAATGTTTACCCTCTCTCTTACATTCATGTAGGCTCTATTTTCCCATGTGCGCTGTTATTCATTCATCTGTGTTGCCGTTCTCGCGCCGCGGTCCGCAAATGCGAATGCTATTTGTTGAATATTAGGAATCCAGTAATACTTCTGACATTTTTGTAAAGCACAAATTATTTTATTTTCAAGGAAACCACTGTTATTTACCCCCTTGACGGTTATGATGGGGAGAAAATCAGAGCTGTAGATTGTTTAACCTGTAGCCAAGGCTATATAGCCTGTATGGTTAATCATAGCTGTCATGGGTTACAATCTGCCACAATATCAGTGTTGCCAGGTATACGAGGGGATAGTAGGCCTAGTTGGACAAGGCTATCTGAATGGGCACATGATGGAAGTTAGAGGTAGCCTAAATATTGAGTATTTATTAGGAAAAAAATGAACTGACTATTATGTGACTAAAATGGCTGTGACTAAAACCAAACTAAAATTGTCCAGAGTTTTAGTCGACTGATAATAACTAAAACTAACGAATGATGAAATTACTAAAATGTGACTAAGACTAAAAGCTATTTTAAGACTAAAACTAAGACAAACTAAATCTAAAATAGCTGCCAAAATTAACACTGCTCAAAAGAGAACTCAATATGGTGGTAGTAGTATAGCATAAGATGCAGTAGCACTTAAAAGCAGAAACAGTGACAGACAAATTGACAAACAGAAAAGCGGACAGGCAGCAGGACAGACATACAAGATGGATGGACAGACAGACGGAAGGACAGACAGACAGGCAGACAGGATGAAAAGCAGGGCTGACAGACAGACAGAAACATACCCTCATTACCTGTCTTGTTTATGTTTCTTAAACTACCAAAGCTTTTTAGTTTCCACATTTTGCGCTTTGCTACAGGGTAAGAGATTAGCAGATCAGACGTCCCAGGAAAGCAGAGAAGAGAGAGAATAAAGGAGCACAGGAGAAAAGGAGAAGGAGAGAGGAGAGAAAAGTGATAACGGCAGATATTTTGGAGAAAATAAGTAGATGAGACAAAGGTTTTTCTTTAGATGTCTGTTCAGTATTGACCTATTCCTGATTCACTCTCAAATTTAGTTTCAAGTTTATCCTCAAACAAAGTCTACACAAAGTCTAAAACTCCTCAATGTTCAGATAGAAATGTAATGTGTAGACAGATATGATTCATCTCACATACATTCTATTGAATCTCATACAGTTCTATCTGCAATGTTCTGAATGTTTCACCTAACTAAACCCTGAATACACTGCTGTTGGAAGCTTACGATCTGATTGGCCAATTGTTGTGTCTCCTTTCTGGTTCATGCTCTTCTTCCTGCGATGCTTCTTCCTGTCAACCATCGGGGAGGCGGGGCCTGTGTCTTTAGAGGAAGAGGGGCTGGACACACCCTCGATGGCAGTGTCTGCCACAGTCACACAAGCACAGGAAATAAGTTTGTGTCATATGGTATAGCAGTACAAAAAACTCTCACGGGACATGTGAATCTAGTGGAGAATCATATCCACAACAACTCAAATAAGAGTACACAAGAGGAGCAAGCAAATTCAAAAGTGACAAAATAAATAAACATTATCAAGTCCACAGAGGACCAGGGGGGTATACGTACCCACACTTTGGGCCTTGTAGGAGACAGTAGAGGGGCAGCGCTGCACCCCTCTGCACCCCTCTGACAACCCTCCTCCTGCCCCCTCCTCTACCGGCAGGAGGTTACTGCCACTACCAGGGACTATGGGGGAGAGAGAAATACATTTCAAAGAGATAATGTCTTTTACATAAAGACACTCATGACAATTCAGTGATTAAAGCAAAGAATGTAGATCACTCAATCACTATGGTATTTTTATTAGTAAATGTACAAACATATATTATGATAAATAGATTTGAAACTTGTATCTCATTATGGTAAGTGGTGAAATAAGTATAGCCAGTTATAATTGTAATGTAATGGAAATATACTTCTCCCATGGGCAAAGAAACTCAAAAGGGGTGACGATATTAATTAACAGTAATTTCGATCCGAATGTGCAAATTGTCCAAACAGATCCGCAAGGTAGATGGATGATTTTAAATATGTTATTGGACCATAAACAGATATGGCTCATTAAACTTTACGGACCAAATAATGATGATCCACACTTCTTTGACAATATATATAATACATTATCAACCCTGCAAGCAATACAAGACTCTATTATTATGGTGGGAGATTATAATACTGTTTTAAATAGCTCAATGGACCATAAAGGAAATCACACTACAAACTATCACCCTCATGCTCTTAAGGAAATCATGAATGCCATGGATACATTAGAACTAGTAGATATATGGAGGCTTAAATATTCTGACCTAGTGAGATATTCATGGCGGAGACTCAATCAAGCTAGTCGTCTTGACTTCTTTCTTATGTCATTCTCGTTGGCACCAAATGTTTAAAAAGTGTTGATAGGGGACAGAATGCGGTCGAACCATCATATAATTGGCATATACATTACTCTTACTGAATTTCCACGTGGGCGAGGATATTGGAAATTTAATCAAAGCCTATTGGATGATAACTTGTTTTTAACTAGGACAGAGGAATTTATAACTGATCTTTTCCCGACATAACATAGGTACAGCAAATCCTCTTATTGTATGGGACACTTTTAAATGTGCCTTTAGAGGCCATGCAACTCAGTACTCATCTCGAAATCAAAAGCAATTTAGGTCAAAAGAGTCCATACTAACAAAGGAAATAGAAGGTCTAACAGAACAGATAGATAGCAATAAAAACTGTAACATAGAGGCTCAGAATAAATTAGAGGAAAAACAAAAAGAAATGGAGAAACTTATTCAAGAAATATCAAGTGTAATATATTATAAAAAAATAAAGCAAACTGGATGTAATATGGGGAAAAATGCACCAAATTATTTTTAAATCTTCAACATAGAAATGCTACCAAAAACGATTTACTGAAACTGGTTACAAATGACAGAGTCACCCATGATTCACCAAATTATATTTTGAAGGAGGAAGCAAAGTACTTTAAGCATATGTTTTTGTTTCAGTCGCCTCTAACTGAAGCTAATTGCAGGGATTTGTTTTCTATTGATAATGTAAAATTAACAGCCATACAGAAAGACTCATGTGAAGGTGAAATTACAGAGGAGGAACTTCTGGATGCAATTAAAGACTTTAAGTCCGGGAAAACTCTAGGGTTGGATGGCATATCAGTCGAGGTATACCAAACCTTTTTTGATATACTCAGAGGACCGTTATTAGCATGTTTTAAATGATAGATTATCAGACACTCAAGAAGAAGGTCTGATTTAATTATTACTGAAACAGGATACAAGTGGAAATATAAAGATCCAGTCCATTAAAAAAATTGGAGGCCCCTTACACTTCAGTGTTGTGATGCAAAAATTCTAGCAAAATGTATAGCGCATAGAATTAAAAAGGTATTGTCGGACATTATTCATTCTATCAGACAGGTTTTTTACATGGACGATACATTGGAGATAATATAAGACAAGTACTGGAAACAATAGAACACTATGAAAAATCTGGAAAACCAGGCCTGCTATTCATAGCATACTTTGAAAAGGCATCTGATAAAGTACGACTGGAGTTTATATATAAATGCCTGGAGCATTTCAATTTTGGAGAATCTCTAATAAAATGGGTTACAATCATGTATAGTAACCCTAGGTGTAAAATAGTAAATAATGGCTATTTCTCCGAAAGTTTTAAACTGTCAAGAGGAGTAAAACAAGGTTGTTAACTATCGGCATATCTATTTATTATGGCTATCGAAATGTTAGCTATTAAAATCAGATGCAACAATAATATCAAGGGATTAGAAATCCAGGGCTTAAAAACAAAGGTGTCATTGTACGCTGATGATTAATGTTTTCTTTTAAATCCGCAACTTAAATCCCTCCACAGCCTCATAGAGGATCTAGATACATTTTCTAACCTCTCTGGATTACAACCAAATTATGATAAATGTACTATATTACGTATTGGATCACTAAAAAATACAATTTTTACATTACCATGTAGTTTACCAATAAAATGGTCTGATGGTGATGTGGATATACTCAGAATACATATCCCAAATGAAATAAATGATCTCACTCCAATACATTTTAATAGAAAGTTAGCAAAAATAGATAAGATCTTGCTACCATGGAAAGGTAAATACCTGTCTATTTGTGGAAAAATCACCCTGATTAACTCTTTAGTATTATCCCAGTTTACCTATTTGCTTATGGTCTTGTCTACGCCTAGAGAACAGTTTTTAAAATTATGAGAAAAAAATATTCAATTTTATTTGGAACGGCAAGCTAGACAAAATTAAACGGGCCTATTTATATAATGTATATGAATTCGGAGGACAGGAATTATTAAATATTAAAGCATTAGACCTATCACTAAAAGCTTCAGTCATACAAAAGTTATACTTAAACCCGAACTGGTTCTCTAGCAAATTAGTAAGATTGTCTCATCCCATGTTCAAGAATGGCCCTTTATTCAGATTACAACCTCTCACTTTCAGTTATTTGAAAAGGAAATAATCTCCCAAATGTCACTATTTCTAAAACAAGCCATAGAAAGTTGGTTGCAAGTTTCAATTTAATCCTCCACAAACGACAGAACAAATAATGCAACAAATATTGTGGTTAAACTCAAATATGCTAATTGATAATAGAAAACATTATTTTTTGAAAAAATATTTTTAAAGGTATAATCTTCGTAAATGATAACATAGATAGGACTGGTGGAGTTATGTCGCACATGCAGCTAACAAAAACATATGGAAATGTCTGCTCTACCCAAAATTACAACCAAATAATTGCAGCATTACCGCAAATATAGAAGAGGAAAGTGTACCAGTTTCATTTAAGGATCAAAGGATTGACAGCCGTCCCATATAGATTGTAAAATAGTTGGGAAGAAACTTTTGACGTACCGATTCCATGACATAGTGTTTATGAACTGATAAGCAAAACGACAGCGGATTAAAAACCTAGAATTGTTCAATTAAAATTATTATAAAAAATTCTTACTACCAATAGAATGTTATTTATATGGGGGATACAATCTTCCCAGCTCTGCAGAATTTGCTGCGAAGAGACAAAATCATTAGATCATTTGTTTTGGTACTGTCGATGGCTGAAGGATTGCAATATTTACCTGGAGCTAACCCTGCAGATAGAACTACTGGGTGATCTGAAAAGTCATAGTCAAATCGATCAATAATATAATAATACTTTTAGCAAAAATGTTTATTTTCAATTTACAATCTGTAGAAACAATGAGAATAGAAGGGTTCAGAACTTTTTTGAAACATCACAGTGCAGTTGAAAAATATATGGCAAATAGAAATCCAATATGGATGGTGTTAAGAGATAGATGGGAGGTGTTGAATGGAGCTGAAGGATGGGACTAATGACAACTAACAACAACTAATAACAACAAGAAAGCTAATGTAAAACATACTGTGTCCATAATAAGTATATAGGTTATAGGTTGAGAGCTTTTGTGAAAGAGCACAGTTGGAAAGATATGGCATATAGAAGCAAACCGGATGGACATGGAGAGGTTGAGTGTAGAGTAAGTTCAGGAGTAAAAACAAACAAAATAGAATTATTGTAAAATTGACTATGTCCATAAAATGTATATAGTATGTATAAGCTGGAAGTAGGGGCCTAAGCGTTGTTGTTTACTAGTTTACTCCAATTAGGGAAGGGGTGGTGGGGTTGGAAAGTAATAAAGGGAAATATTTTTTTTTTAAGGATATGTATATACAGTGGGGAGAACAAGTATTTGATACACTGCCGATTTTGCAGGTTTTCCTACTTACAAAGCATGTAGAGGTCTGTAATTTTTATCATAGGTACACTTCAACCGTGAGAGACGGAATATAAAACAAAAATCCAGAAAATCACATTGTATGATTTTAAGTAATTAATTTGCATTTTATTGCATGACATAAGTATTTGATACATCAGAAAAGCAGAACTTAATATTTGGTACAGAAACCTTTGTTTGCAATTACAGAGATCATACGTTTCCTGTAGGTCTTGACCAGGTTTGCACACACTGCAGCAGGGATTTTGGCCCACTCCTCCATACAGACCTTCTCTAGATCCTTCAGGTTTCGGGGCTGTCGCTGGGCAATACGGACTTTCAGCTCCCTCCAAAGATGTTCTATTGGGTTCAGGTCTGGAGACTGGCTAGGCCACTCCAGGACCTTGAGATGCTTCTTACGGAGCCACTCCTTAGTTGCCCTGGCTGTGTGTTTCGGGTCGTTGTCATGCTGGAAGACCCAGCCACGACCCATCTTCAATGCTCTTACTGAAGGAAGGCGGTTGTTGGCTAAGATCTCGCAATACATGGCCCCATCCATCCTCCCCTCAATACGGTGCAGTCGTCCTGTCCCCTTTGCAGAAAAGCATCCCCAAAGAATGATGTTTCCACCTCCATGCTTCACGGTTGGGATGGTGTTCTTGGGGTTGTACTCATCCTTCTTCTTCCTCCAAACACGGCGAGTGGTTTTTAGACCAAAAAGCTCTATTTTTGTCTCATCAGACCACATGACCTTCTCCCATTGCTCCTCTGGATCATCCAGATGGTCATTGGCAAACTTCAGACGGGCCTGGACATGCGCTGGCTTGAGCAGGGGGACCTTGCGTGCGCTGCAGGATTTTAATCCATGACGGCGTAGTGTGTTACTAA